GTTGTTTTTGACCAGTAAATAAGATTATAACTTGACTTAAAGCTCACAAGAGTCAATTTTATGTAATACGGGACCTTTAATTATCCCGTTCCCGTCCGTTTCATAATAGCTTAAATAAAAGATGCATTTGTATTCCAAACTCATTTGTCTGAGTCTGAGCTCCTCCTCCGTGTTTTTCTTTTCAAACGGCACAATCACACAAACCATAATGCCATTTTATCTTTTAGAGAAATCTATCGACCCATCCCTCTCTCTCTCCTACTCTGTTTTCTTTCTCTCTTTCCTTCCTTGTCTTTCGCTCTCTCTCGTTCTCTTTTCGCTCAGTCTCTTTAGAAATCCCCGGTTCGATGACATCTGATTAAACCCACACTCGTCTCTTCTTCTCTCTGCACACACTTTTTCCCCACTATCTCTCTCTCTCTCTCTCTGCCTCTCCTCTTCTCTCCGTCCTTCTCTCTCTCTCTATCTCTTCTGCAGTGCTGTGATTGCAGTATAAAGGACTTATACGATCAATGAGCCGGGCTTAGCTGTGAAACCTCCTGTTAGCTCCTTTACCTCTTTGTGATAGAAAAACAAACTACTCTCCTCTCTCTCCGTCCATCCCTCGCTCTCCAGCTCTCCGCCTACTCCTCTCTACCTGCTTCTCTCTGCTATCTCTCCTCCTTTCTCCTACTCTCTCCATCCCGTCTCTCTCCTCTCTTTTCTCCTTTCTCCCTCTGTCCTCTCTCCATCTCTCCTTCCCTCTCTCTCTCTGCTCTCCTTTCTCTTCTCCAACCCTCCTCTCTCCCTCTTTCCTCTCTGTCCATCTCTGCATCTGCATCCCCACTCCTCCCCTCTCTCCTCCTCTCTTTCTCTTCTCTCCTCTCTCCCTCCTTTCTACCTCCCTCTTCTCTCCCTTTGCCCTTTCCTCCTCTCTCTCACCTCTCTCCTCCTCTCTTTCTCTCTCCTTTCTCCCTCCCTTTCCTTTCCCTCCCTCTTCTCTCCTCTGTCCTCTCTTTACATCTCTCCATCCCCCCCTCTCTCCTCCTCTGCCCCACTCTCCTCTCCTTCCCTCTCTCTTTCTCTCTCTCTCTCCTTTCTCCCTCCTTCTTTCTCTCCTCTCTCTCCTCTCTCTCTGACCTTTCCTCCTCTCTCTTCATCTCTCTCCTCCTTCCTTCCTCCCTCCTCTCTCTCTTCTCTCCCTCCCTCCTCTCTCTCCTCCGTCTCTCTCCTACTCTCTGCGTCTGTCCTCTCTCTCACCTCTCCTTTCTCCTCTCTCCCTCCGCCCTCTCTCTCTATCTTTCCATCCCCCCCTCTCCCTCCTCTACTCCATTCTCCTCTCTCTTCCTCTCTCTCCTCTTCCTCTCTCTCCTCTCCTCTCTCTCCTCTCTTCCTCTCTCTTCCTCTCTCCTCTCTCCTCTCTCTCTCCTTCTCTTCCCTCTCTCTCTCTCTCTCTCCTCTCTCTCCTCTCTCTCCTCCTCTCCTCTCTCTCCTCTCTCTCTCTCTCTCTCTCTCTCTCCTCCTCTCTCTCTCCTCTCCTCTTCTTCTCTCTCTCTCCTCTCTCTCTCTCTCGCTCTCTCCTCTCTCTCTCCACTCTCCTCTTCTCACTCTCCTCCTCTCTCTCTCTCTTCTCTCCTCTCTCTCTCTCTCTCTCTCTCTCTCTCTCTCTCTCTCCTCTCTCTCTCTCTCTCTCTTTCTCCCTCCTCTCCTTCTCTCTCTCTCTCTCCTCCTCTCTCTCTCTCCTCTCCCTTCTCCTCTCCTCTCTCCCTCTGACCTCTCTCTCCATCTCTCTATCTGCATCCCCACTCCTCCCCTCTCTCTTTCTCTCTCTTCTCCTCCTCCTGTTTTCTTATACGACAGAAAAACAAACTGCTCCGTTCATGTGTTTGCTCCTGGAATGTTCCACAGTACGGCTTTTATTTTAACTGTCTCCATGGATACAAGCACACAGCATCACCGGGCCACGTTACAGGTCAGATCTGTGGAGAAGTGGGCGCGCTCACAGTAAGAACGCATGTTTTCGCTGTAGTTTCGAGGAATAAAAACACCTGTAAATGAAAGACAAAATAAGATATACAGTATTTGTTTAATGCCGTACTGTGGAACATCCCAAGCAGATGACGGACCCTCCACCAGAAAAGTTACACAGTGCACCTTTAACAATAATAGGCAGTCTCTCTCCATTGTAAAACTGAACTCAATTTATTCTTGTCAGGTTGAATTCTCTTTACGGTTTAGTGTTTTGTTGAAGTTTTGTTGAAGCTACAGGATCCACTTTTTTTTTTTTTTTCATCCGATCTTGCACTTCCAGAGAATCACGGGAAGTGAGGAGGAGGCTGCACACTGCACTGACATGATTGAAAGAGAGAAAACAGAGAAGCAGGCAGAAACAAGACGACAAAAAGACGATATAAACAGAAAATAACGCTGACGTGATCTTCTGAGAAAACGCTGTATTTCCTGTGACGGCAATTTACCAGTATATGTTGAGTGGACATGCTCACGTCTTCGGGGTTGAGTAATAGCACCACTTTCTGAAGCTATTGTGAAAAAAAAATCACTTTTGTTTATTTATACGGACGGAGAAGATGCTGAACGTTGTGTCAGTTTTTGTTCCATGTGGATAGGTCCAGTAATTACAGAGAAATGAACCATAAACCAGGTCTACAAATCTGCAATCTGACAGTTACACAGCAAATTCCACCACAGAGTTCTCCAGATCCGAGTAGATTCTACAATGTGCTGATGTCCTTTTCTGGTCTTGTTGTGGTCCTGTTTAGTATAAGCAGAGGTAGAGCCGTCACAACCCAGGGAAGAGTGACATTATTGCAAAATAATATATTGAATATTGAAGTAGTGCCATATTTTTCAGACTATAAGTCACTCCGGAGTATAAGTCGCACCAGCCAAAAAATGTGTAATGAAGAAGAAAAAAACACATATATAAGTTGCACTGGACTATAAAGTCGCAATTTATTTTATAAAAACTGAGACAAGGAACCGACATTTCATCTTGAAAGTCAAGTTCTAGTAAAAACAATAGAACAGAGAACAACAGACTGTTAACGTCACATATGAACAGTTCTTCAGATAAATATAACATAAACAACAGAACAAGTTAATCAAACTCTTCATCTCACTCCAAATCACTAAATCCATTCAATTCTTCTTCCTCTGTGTCACTTCTGAGCAACTCCACGACCTCCAGAGGTAAACAGACGCCGCTTCCTCTTCTGTGTCGCTGTCGTCAGACTCAGCATCAGTTCCAGTTAGAATTATTCCAGCCTTTCTGAATCCCGACAGGATGGTTTCAGTGTCTCTGAAGTCCAGGCCTTGTCGATTCATCCAGTGACTTCCAGGAAAGTTTCATGGTGCATCCTCTCGGCGTCAGAAGTTTCTCGCTCACTCCAAACTTTCTCAGATTTCGGTACTTGCAGCTTGTAATCTGCAAAATATGATTTTCTGTTCAGTCTTCTCAGTCGTCTTTATAAGTTTGTTTAATTGTTAAATTGTTCAGTGTTACAGAAGTAATGGTGCAACCGACTGAGACGATACAGACAGAACAGAGGCTCTTTCTGCAGGAGACATGCGCAGTAGAGTGAAGTGAAACAGTTACAGGAATAATACTGACACACAAGCCCAGAGCCTCTCGTGGCTTCAGTGTGAAAATGTTAATAGAAACATCACACGGAGTATAGAGTATAAGTCACAGGAAACACCAAGACCACGAAAAAAGTGTGACTTATAGTCCGAAAAATACAGTAAGCACAAGTACAAAGTAGTTGTCCAAGTTACTCAAGTCAGAGTAAAAACCTGTTCAATCCCAGGGCAGTGCTGATGTAGTTCTAGTTTTGTCCTGGTCTAGTCCTGGTCTAGTCCTGGTTTAGTCCTATTTAGTTCTAGTTTTGTCCTGGTCTAGTCCTAGTCTAGTCCTGATTTAGTCCTGGTTCAGTCCTGGTCCAGTCCTGGTTCAGTCCTGGTCTAGTCCTGATTTAGTCCTGGTTTAGTCCTGGTCTAGTCCTGGTCTAGTCCTGATTTAGTCCTGGTTCAGTCTTGGTCTAGTCCTGGTTTAGTCCTGGTCTAGTCCTGGTTCAGTCCTGGTCTAGTCCTAGTCCTGGTCTAGTCCTGGTCTAATCCTGGTCTAGTCCTGGTTTAGTCCTGGTCTAGTCCTGGTCTAGTCCTGGTCTAGTCCTGGTCTAGTCCTGGTTTAGTCCTGGTCTAGTCCTGGTCTAGTCCTGGTCTAGTCCTGGTTTAGTCCTAGTCCTGGTCTAATCCTGGTCTAGTCCTGGTTTAGTCCTGGTCTAGTCCTGGTCTAGTCCTGGTTTAGTCCTGGTTTAGTCCTGGTCTAGTCCTGGTCTAGTCCTGGTCTAGTCCTGGTTTAGTCCTGTCTAGTCCTGGTCTAGTCCTGGTCTAGTCCTGGTCTAGTCCTGGTCTAGTCTTGGTCTAGTCCTGGTCTAGTCCTGGTCTAGTCCTGGTTCTAAGTCCTGGTTTAGTCCTGGTCTAGTCCTGGTCTAGTCCTGGTCTAGTCCTGGTTTAGTCCTGTCTAGTCCTGGTCTAGTCCTGGTCTAGTCTGGTTTAGTCTGGTTTAGTCTGGTCTAGTGGTCTGGTTAGTCTGTCTGTCCTGTCTAGTCCTGGTCCTGGTTCTAGTCCTGGTCTAGTCCTGGTCCTGGTTTAGTCCTGGTCTAGTCCTGGTCTGGTTTAGTCCTGGTCCTGGTCCTAGTCCTGGTCTAGTCCTGGTCTAGTCCTAGTCCTGGTCCTGGTTCAGTCCTGGTTTAGTCCTGGGTCCTGGTCCTGGTCTAGTCCTGGTCTAGTCCTGGTCTAGTCCTGGTCTGGTCTGGTCCTGGTCTAGTCCTGGGTCTGGTCTAGTCTGGTCCTGGTCTGTCTGTCTAGTCCTGGTCCTGGTCCTAGTCCTGTCTAGTCCTGGTTAGTCCTGGTCTGGTCTGGTCCTGGTCTGGTCCTGGTCTGGTCCTGGTCCAGTTCTCTCCTGACCTTGCGTGTGACCTTGCGTGTGTGTGTTGCAGGTGTGTCTATGCCCATCCCTGTGATCGGGCTTCATAATGAGGACAAGGTGTTTGTGAACGGGAGCTGTGTCCTGAACGAGGAGAGGTTCATGCTCATCGGCTCCTTCGTCGCCTTCTTCATCCCCCTCGTCATCATGGTGGTCACCTACTGCCTCACAATACAGGTACCACGCGCGCTAGCTGGAGGCACTGCTCTGTCTGAAGCTCTCATCTTCAAGTTAGGGTTTAAAGTTCTCCTACACAGGACCAACAACGCTTGTATTCATCTTTCTTCTCTACTTTTTTCTTCTTCCTCCTCTTCTCCCTCTCTTCTCCTCCTCACTTCATCTCTCCTCCTCTCTCTCCTCCTCCCCCATCTCTTTCTCTCTCTTCCTGTCTCTCTTTTTCCTCACCCTCCTCCTCCTCTTCCTCCTCTCTCTCTCTCTCTTTCCCATCTCTCTCTTCCTCCTCCTCTGTCTTTCTCTCTCCTCTCTCTTCCTTCCCTCTCTTCCTCCAATCTCTTCTCTCTCTCTCCTCTCCGTATCTCTTTCTCTCTCTTCCTCCTCTCTCTTTCCTCTCCCTCCTCATCTTCCTCTTTCTCTCTCTTTCATCCTCCTCTATCTCCCCTCTCTCTCCTCCCCTTCCTCTTCCTCTTTCTCTGTCCCTCTCTCCTTTCTCTCCCTCCTCTGTTCTCCTCTCTCTCCCTCCTTCTCTCTCCGTCTACATCCCCCCTCTCTCCTCTCTCTCTCTCCCTCCTCTTGTCGCTCCTCCTTCTCTCTCCTCTTCCCAAATCTCTTTCTCTCTCTTCCTGCTCTCTCTTTCCTCGCCCTCCTCCTCCTCTCCCTCCTCTTTCCCTCTCTCTCCTCCCCTCTCTCTTTCTCTCTCTCTCCTCTCTCTTCCTACCCTCTCCCCCCTCCCTCTCTTCCTCCATTTTCTCATCTCTCTCTCCTCCTCCCCATTTCTTTCTTTTCCTTCTGTCTCTTTCCTTGCCCTCCTCATCATCTTCCTCTCTTTCTCTCTCTCTCTCCTTCTCTCTCTCTTCTCTCCTATCGCTTCTCCTCTCTCTCCTCCTCCCCCTCTCTTTCTCTCTCCTCTCTCTTCCTTCCCTCTCTTCTTCCAATCTGTCCTCTCTCTCTCCTCCTCTCCATTTTATTCTCTTTCTCCTCTCTCTTTCCTCTCCCTCCTCCTCCTCTTCCTCCTCTCTCTCTCTCTCTCTCTCTCTCTCTCTCTCTCTCTCTTCCTCCTCCTGTCTATTTTCCTCTCTCTCCTCCTCCCCTCTGTCTTTCTCTCTCCTCTCTCTTCCTTCACTCTCTCCACTCCCTCTCTTCCTCCAATCTTTTCTCTCGCTCTCCGCCTCCCCCATCTCTTTCTCTTCCTCCTCTCTCTCTCCTCATCTCTCTCTCTCTCTCTTTCTCTTCTCCCCCTTCTAATTCACGCTCCTCTCTCTTTCATCCTCCTCTCCATCTCCCCTCTTTCCTCCTCTTCCTCCCCTTGTTCTCTGCCCCTCTCTCCTCTCTCGCCCTCCTCTGTTCTCCTCTCTCTTCCTCCCCTCTCTCCTCTCTCTCCTCTTTCTCTCTCTCCTCTTTCTCTCCCTCTCCTCCTCCTCTCCCTCCTCCCGTCACTCCTCCTCCCCCTATCTCTTCCTCTTCCCTCTCCCTTCTGCTCATCTTCCTCCCCTCTCTCTCTTTCATCCTTCTCTCCATCTCCACCCCCTCTCTGTCCCTCCCTCCTCCTCCTCCACCCTTCTCCCGCCCCTCTCCTCTCTCCCTCTTCCCTCCTCCTCTCCCTCTCTCTATTCCTTCCTCTCTCTCTTCCTCCCTCCTCCTCATCTTCCTCCCCTCTCTCTCTCTTTCTCTCTCTCTTTCTCGTCTCTCTCTTCTTCCTCCTCCTGCCGCTCCTCCTCTCTCTCCTTCTCCCTCCTCTTTCTCTCTCCTCTCTCGCCCTCCTCTGTTCTCCCCTCTCTCCTCTTTCTCTCTCCTCCTCCTCCTATCTCTTTTTCTCTCTTCCTCTTCCCTCTCCCTTCTGCTCATCTTCCTCACCTCTCTCTCTCTCTCTTTCTCGCTCTCTCTTCCCTCCTCCTCTCCCTCTCTCTATTCCTCCTCTCTCTCTTCCTCCCTCCTCCTCATCTTCCTCCCCTCTCTCTCTCTTTCTCTCTCTCTTCTCGTCTCTCTCTTCCTCCTCCTGTCGCTCCTCCTGTCGCTCCTCCTCTCTCTCCTTCTCCCTCCTCTTTCTCTCTCCTCTTTCTCTCTTCCTCTTCCCTCTCCCTTCTGCTCATCTTCCTCACCTCTCTCTCTCCTCTCCCCTCTCTCCCTCTTCTCCTCCCCTCCTCTCTCTCTGTCTCTGTTCCTCCTCTCTGTCCCTCCCTCCTCCCTCCTCCACACTTCTCTCACCTCTCTCCCTCTCCCCTCCCTCCTCTCTTCCTCCTCCCCTCCCTCTCTCTGTCTCTCCGTCCTCAGGTGCTCCAGAGACAGGCCACAGTCTTCTTGTCTGAGACCAGGAGCTCCTCTCAGCAGCCTCTTCATCAGTCGGCCCTGACCTCCAGCCTGCAGCCCCCTCCCACCTTCTCCATCCCCCAGATCAACACCCTGGCCCCCCCAGAAGGTACACCTCACTCACGCCTCCTTCTCTCCACTCAACCAAAATCTATTCAGGACTTTTGTGGAGACTGCAGCCTATTAAAGGTCCTATATTACACAAAATTGATTCTTAAGTGCTTTAAAGGTGCACTGCGTAACCTTTCCCACCTGCTTCTCTCCATGGAGATGTTACACAGTATGTAGTGATGCTGCGAGATCAAATTACCATCAAACTGTGTGCACATGGGAAAAACTGTCACGCAAGATTTGATCCTCCATCTGTACATTTGCTCTGGAATGTTGCTCCTCCACAACGTTCAGACTGCAGCCTGAAGTGAGCCAAATCTGATTTTTTCGTCTCTATGCTCCTGTATCTGATCTTTTAATGACAGTCTGAACGACACAGATCTGATCAAATGTGACCCAGGACACTTGGATATGTGCCCAGTCAAGCAGAAGTAAACATCAAGGCCAAACATTCAAGTTAATGCATCTGATATAAAAATGTATTGAACAGATACATATGTACTCTAGTTTATGAAACTGTTGACCTTTTTTCTGTACCATTTTTGGTTCTAAAGTCACATATGTTTTAAACAGACCATGTATGAAACATGGAACAAAAATTATTTCCCAAATTTCACAGACCCAAAAATCATGTCAATAAATGGATGTATTTCATCATATCTTGTGTTATTTGATCTTTGAACTGTTGATGAAGGTACAGGATTAAAAAAAAAAAAAAAGTATTTAAAATGATAAAAATTTGCTTAGAAGGACTGACATATTTTATAGAAATAGTTTCCTTTCATTTTGAAGTAATATTAAAGTATTCAGAAGAAAAAAGCTGACAAATTATGTAAAATCATGCACCTTCTACTTGCTTGAACAATTTTCCCTCCGTTACTTTTCCCTCCGTTACCATGACCTTTCTTAATAAAAAATCTCATGACTCAAAAAGTAAGAGGTTTTTCAACCTAATCTTGTACCATATGGTAGAAAACTATATGAAGCAAATATTCAAACCAGTTTGTTAAGGATATGGTAAGTGAGAACCAAGAGTTATCACTGTTTGGATTTATTGCCCAAAAAGTGCTGCATATTTCATTCCCTCTGTTACCGACATGAGTTTTTAAATTTTTTGTCAACAACTTGAAAGAATATCACAGGTTTAACTTGACCCTGTTGGAGTGTAACTCTTTACATTCTGATACTTTACTTATTTCAATAGTCCCTCTAGTTTCTGAATAAGAGACATTTGAATGTCAAAAATCTGCCCGTTTCCCTCCTTTACCACTTGACTGGACCCATATGTGCTCCTAAAACCGATACATATCCAATCTTTTGACATGCGACTTGAGTCTGAATGGCCAGGTCACATTCATCCCACCTGGTCAGCTGTTGTGAATTAACAAGCTAGTCAATACAGCCCAAGGCCAACTGAAGTAGGCCACTGAAGACATGTTTCCTGAAGACATGTGGTACTAGTAGGCAGAGGCGGCGCTACCATTAGGCAAAAGTAGGTGGCTGCTTAGGGCCCCCAAACCTAGAGGGGCCCCCAACCGATTGCCCTCAGTGTCACTAATGGCTGAGGTCTCAGAGCAATTAGATTTTCTCTTAATATGACATTAAATGAGAGTAGTTTACTTTTAAACAATAATCATAAGGAAAAATCATGTGTAATGAATGTAAACAAAAATGTAATTGTACTGGGAAAAATAAGACTACTTTCAGTTCTGGTTATCTAGTAGGCCAGGAAGACAAGTTTCCAATCCACCATAATTCAAATAAATAGAGATGTGCATGTCTCAAGAACAATGGGGAAAAACAGACAATAAATATATATAAAAAAAATAAATAAAATAAAACAATGTGCATAATAGTGAGGCAAGTAGGTGCTCATAAATGTACACAAACGTTCTCCTCGTCATACGAAAATTGTGTATGAACTCTGTGTGAGTGAAGCAGTGAAGCATAATCAGTGCTAAAGTTGGTTTAAAAAGATCACAAAATAATATAATCAAAGACACCCACATCTAATTCACCCATGGACAATGTGGAACAGGCAGTGTTTTCCACACTTAAACATTGTTTGAAAAATATATACAAAGAGATATTTCAGCTTTCTTCATCCATAATAACTCAGCTCACTTTGAAGAGCGCTTCTCTCTCTTCAAAGTGAGAAAGAAGAGAGAGAAGCGCTCCTCCTCTGTCTGTGTCTGTCTGCACTGAGCGTGTATGACACAGGCAGTTTTCAGGGAGAGGAGCTGAGTGACATAAAAGTTTAAAATGAAGTGTTATAACATATTGTAGGCCTATATTGAGTATATTGTAATCATCAGTGGTGATGCGTGTGTGGAATTGGTGTTTAAAGCATAAAGGTTGTTTAATCCATCAAAAGCAGATAATGAAAATGACTTAATTTTGTCATTTTTATAATTCTACCAACACACAAAACCCATTCACAACACAATATATCAAGAAATTAAACCAATTCAAAAGCATGAGACCAAAACTGTGACTTGATCTGATTGGAAAGTGCTTCAAAATCTTGTGCCTCGCCTCATCTTGTGAAAATTCTGCCTCTGCCACCCCTACGAGTACGACATCACACTTATTTATTTCTAAGGAAACAGCAGGTAATGCCACAGGGTCAAGTTACACGCAAGATCTGTGAAGAGGCAAGCTCACTCACAGTAAGAATGCAAGTGTTTAGGTCAATAAAAAAAAAAAATTAGGTCAAGAAAAAGGAAGATGGATATGTTTAATGCCATACCAGGACAAACCAGACCGAGCAACAGTATCTCCATGGAGACAAAGCTCACACAAGTAAATGTTTCATAATACAGGACCTTTAAAACTATAATGAAATACTCAATACCATTTTATTTTTTGGTTTTATGGCGACTTCTGCTCTACCACCTAAGCCACTGCGATTGTGATAATGAATTTGAAACCTTTCTGATCTTTTTCTGGTGTGGGATTATGATTTGATTTGATTTTGTTTTGTCTGGGTTTAATCACAAACCTCCGCAGACCTCCACGCTCTTCTCAAATTGAACCTCGTGTATCTCTGCAGCTATTTCTGTGTCTCTGGAGATTAAACTGCGACTGCCATTTCTCATCGGTGTGTTCAGTAACGCTCTAGTCCTGGTCTATTCATGGTTTAAGCCTGGTCTATTCATGGTTTAGTCCTGGTCTAGTCCTGGTTTAGTCCTGGTTTAGTCCTGGTTTAGTCCTGGTTTAGTCCTGGTCTTGGTCTTGCCCCAGTTTAGTGCTGGTCTAATCCTGGCATAGTCCTGGTTTAGTCCTGGTTTAGCCCAGGTCTAATTCTGGTTTAGTCCTGGTTTAGTCCTCATTTAATCCTGTCTTAGTTCTGGTTTAGTCCTGGTTTAGCCCGGGTCTAGTTCTGGTTTAGTCCTGGTTTAGTCCTCATTTAATCCTGGTTTAGTTCTGGTTTAGTTTATTCCTGGGTTTGTTCTGGTTTATTCCTGGTTTAGCCCTGGTCTGGTCCTGGTCTGGTCCTGATGTAGTCCTGATTTAGTCCTGTTTTAGCCCTGGTTTAGCCCTGGTTTAGTCGTAGTTTAATCCTAGTTTAGTCCTTGATTAGCCCTGGTCTAGCCCTGGTTTAGTCCTGGATTAGCCCTGGTTTAGTCCTGGATTAGTCCTGGTTTAGTCCTGGATTAGTCCTGGTTTAGTTCTGGATTAGTCCTTGATTAGCCCTGGTTTAGTCCTGGATTAGTCCTGGTTTAGTTCTGGATTAGTCCTTGATTAGCCCTGGTTTAGTCCTGGATTAGTCCTGGATTAGTCCTGGATTAGTCCTGGTTTAGTCCTGGATTAGTCCTTGATTAGCCCTGGTTTAGTCCTGGATTAGTCCTGGATTAGTCCTGGTTTAGTCCTGGATTAGCCCTTGTCAAGTTTAGTTCTTGTTTAGCCCTGGTCTAATCCTGGTCTAGTCCTGGTTTAGTCTCTTGTCTAGTCCTGGTTTAGTTCTGGATTAGTCCTTGATTAGCCCTGGTTTAGTCCTGGATTAGTCCTGGTTTAGTTCTGGATTAGTCCTTGATTAGCCCTGGTTTAGTCCTGGATTAGTTCTGGATTAGTCCTTGATTAGCCCTGGTTTAGTCCTGGATTAGTCCTGGTTTAGTCCTGGATTAGCCCTTGTCTAGTTTAGTTCTTGTTTAGCCCTGGTCTAATCCTGGTCTAGTCCTGGTTTAGTCTCTTGTCTAGTCCTGGTTTAATCCTGGTTTAGTCCTGGTTTAGTCCTTGATTAGCCCTAGTCTAGTCCAGGTTTAGTCCTGCTTTAATCCTGTTTGTGGAGATGAAAGTGTGAATGCCATTTCTCGTGTGTGTTCCATAACGCTGTGACCTGCTGCCGATCTGATAAGGACCAGAGCGTCTTTAACTCAAAATTCAATTAACTTCTGCTCCAGCTCTGAGATTTGATTCTGGAGTTTAGAGACGCTACAGCGCAAAAGAAAACATTTGGGTCAAGCTGTAGTCAGTACTTTTACTTGAGTCACTTAAATAAATTGTACTTTTCTGAGTACTTTAATTTACTTTATTATATTCTCACTGAGCAGAGCAATAACTTTATAAAACATGAATATAAACTTGCACAGAGGAGGTAGATGTGATGTCATCCTTGTGCGTTTTGGTGCCTTGTTTGCATCACTGTAAAAGGTCAAAGTCTTTGTTAACACGATCGCCCAGACTCACCCATCGGCGCTGTGTCACCCATGGGTGCAGAGTTTCTCGGGGTAAGGAGGGATTTCAAGGTTTCACGGCACCAGAGGAAACTTTTGTATTTCGTGTTCAGCTGTGGGCATATGTGACCTTCTCCAAAACACTAGTACTGGTACGTGAATTCAAAGTAAAGTGCAGGATTGAAAGAACCTGTATATGCAAATGAATCTTACATTGCCCCTTTTCACAGACATATATCTTTTTGAGTTTGTACTAATGTGAATTTTGGAGCCTAATGAATATTTAAAGAAGACATATTGTGCTTGTGTATGCTGAAAGGGG